CTTCCGCACCAGTGGCACCTAGAGACTGCTGAACCAGTCCTTCTATCCTACCATGTCCACTCTTGGGTGATGCAATGGACCTTCTGCGACTGACTCGAAGTCTTTGTCCGCAACGCAGGTCGTTTTCAATGCGGAGTAGGAGTAGGCGAGGGGGTATGGGTCCGCGTAAGGGAGGTGGCTCAGGGGCAGTGATCTTCAGTGATTTAGATAGCATGATGAGGAAAGGACAGAAGAGCGTTGATCAATGTTGATCAGTTCAATGTTTCTTTTTTGCGTTGATCAGTTCGCTCTATGTTTGGTTTGTCCTAGAAAGCCTAGAAACATTTAGAATCTAGAAACCCAAGCTGTTCGTTGTTTCTGCCATGAGGGCTTAGAGAGATGTGCAGATGCTGCTGTGTGCCCCCAACAAACTAAGCATGCTTCGCACGCTTCGTAGTTGCGGCCAGTAGAGATAGATATGCAGACATCAAAGCCAAATTCCTCCGGAATAGAGCCATGTTTGAAGTCATTGTTTGCTTAGAAGTTTGGATGGTCGCCCCCAAAATACTCGTTTCAAGGGCATAGATAGTCAAAAAGCAACAATTAGCATCAATTAGCCAATCAACAAAACAATAGTTTTAGAACAATATATATATATATATATCTAGTCTATAGTATATTAGTATATTATAATATATATATATATCCAAATATACAAATAAATAACAATTATACCTAATCAGCTGGTCCCTTTGGTCCTCTGGTCCTTTGGTCCCTGGTCGCTTGGTCCTATAGTCCGCTGGCCCCCTCCTGGTCCTTTGGTCCTTTGGTCCTTCCAAGGTAGCATACCGTTTGTGAGAAAATAACATTTAGAGGAGAGACGGGCCATTGATGTAGCATACTTTTTGTGAGCAATCCGAGGGTAAAATGTAGAGGAGAGCGGTGACACATACCCTTTGTAAGGCTAAAATTTTGAGGAGGAAGGTGCCACATACTTTTTGCGAGCCACCTGAGCAGAAAACAAGGCAGCTTTCTGTTTGTGAGCCACCCGAGGTTAACATTTAGAAGAGGAAGGGCTAATGTAGCATGCCTTTGTGAGCCGCCTGAGCTAAACATTTAGAGGCCACTCAAACGTAACATTGTGAGCCTTGCGGGCAAAATATAGAGGAGGGAGGTGCCATTCCCTGAGACACTCCATCCGGAGGTTTGGGGTTACTCATTCTAGGGCAAGCTCGCGCTTGCCAGCGCACTGTCGTGCCGGACCCGGGCCTGATCGCCCCGGGTGCCTTCACTGCGCTCGACCGCTTTCTCCGGCACCGCCGTGCCCTGAATCGGGGCTACGGCTGCTTGCTACTTGTCCTACTCCTGCACCTCCGGCTGCGACGACTACTACTACTACTACTACTACTACTGCCACTACTGCCACTATACTGCCACAGCCACTGCGACTGCTACCACCACCACCACCACGACGACAACGACTACTACTGCTACTCCTGCCACTGCCTCTGCTACTGCTACTAGTTGCTGCTACTGCTGCTGCTTCTACTACTACTCCTACTATGACTACTACTACTACTACTTCTTCTACAACGTTCATGAGTTCACGACCACCACCACCACGACGACTACGACTGCTATTACTACTACCAGTGCAACGGCTACTACTACTGCTACTGCTGCTACTACTACTACTACGACTACGACTACTACTACTACGACTACTACTACTATACTACTACTACTACTACTACTACTACGACTACGACTACGACTACTACGACTACTACGACTACTACGACTACTACGACTACTACGACTACTACGACTACTACGACTACCGCTACCGTTACCGCTGCCGCTGCCGCTACCGCTAACGCTACCTACTACTACTACTACTACTACTACTACTACCTCCTCCTGCTGCTGCTGCTGCTACTGCTACTGCTGCTGCTGCTACTGCTAGTACTACTAGTGGGCCGCGTGTGGCTGCAACTCGTTGTTTCTTTTCCCAGTCCAATGCTACGCCTCCCAGTTTCATCCCTCCTACGCAGCGTGGTGTACTATATTTTCATTTTTCCAGGTACAGTCGCACCATCCGGAATATTTTCCGTCCATTGGCCACCTCTCAACTTCTACATCGACCTGTTTTGGCGGTAAACGGTTTTGGCACAAAAATTTTCGGACGGCTTCAGGGAGAAGGGGCTCGATTGAACGATGGTTGAAAGAAGATCTTGCACAACCCGGTGCAGGGTGGCCCCCTGAGTTGAAACTAGGTTGCCACCTACCCTTACAAAGGTAGTGCTGCTTCACTTAATGGAGGATAATGGAGGATTCGTTTGACCCCTCCCGTTTTTTTTAAGAACCATCGGTTTGGACAATGATTCGTGAACACTTTAAAAAAGAAAAAACTATTGGAGGCTTGGGTTCGCATTGCATCCTTGCGTGAGACGGATGCAAAAGTCCGGTCAGTTGTATTCATCAGAATCCATTTGGATTCATTTGTTTTGGTGGTCGCCTTCGTTGCCAGGACGCCATCTCAGCAAACAGTGCAGTGAAAAATGGGTGACTTGCAGCTACTTGCAACAGACTTTTCCCTTCAGGCCGATGTGGTTCCGAAACCGAGTTCTAGAATGTTAATGACTCCAAATTTGGCCCTTTTGTCAACTTGCATTTTGTGGTTTGCGTTGACCAAATGAATTCTGCGAACTGGACAGGTTGGAGTTTCAACGGGGTTTCCGTTTATCGACACCCACGGAAGTTGATCATGGTTGGTTGCAAGACTGGTTCGTTCATAGTTGGAACATCGTAGCAAAGGGTTCCGTTGGTTTCACTCCATCCATGTCCTTCCCTTTTTGTGAGAGGTTGCATTTTTTGGGGGGGATAGTAGTCAACCATGACTTCAAAGAGTTGTGTTTAAAAACAACAAAATGTTTTTGGGGGCCAAATTGGTATGAGTCAGTCACCCTGCTTACAACTCAGATGGTTGTACAGCTATCATAAGTACTTGGACAGGGTTGCTTGGGAGGCAGACACACTTTGACAATGGGTTTGCAGTTAACTCTATTCCCAGGTCGAAAAGGGTGAAGGAACGGAAAGGCGAGCGAGTCTGAAAACTTGAAGATGTTTAACAAAGGTTTTGCGTGATTGCGGAAGCTAGTTACTGCATTAGCACTTTACTGCAAGAACGGTAAGGCGAAAGGGTCCGAAGAACAGAACTGTGTAACAAACTCACTAGCACTTTACCAACGCTAAGGGAACCTGTTTGGGGGAATATCATGCGAAGAACCACCATGGAAACAAAAAGGGAAAAGTGGAGTCACAGCGTAAACAACAGCTTTTAGCAGGTACGTGGAAATGGCGTCCCATTTGCATATCCTCGGATGCATCGCCAGCTTCGTTGACCAGGCGACGATGCATCCTGCCTGGTCCCCTGCTTGTGGAAAGCTCTTAGGAACAGAGTGTGACACTCACACACACACACACACCCGGCCGCTTTGCGGCGCTCTCGCGGAGGACCTAAATAGGCACCTAAAAGCCGTAGAAACAAGAGGAAGAAAAACAGAAAAAGCAGCGCTAAAAGGGCAAGAGAGAAAGATAGGAGTAGCAAAAAGTGAATACTTAGCCCTTGACTGGGGTAGGGAAATAGAGAAAGCCCAAGAAACGACAAAAAGCGCAAGAAGGAAAGTGGGGGGCAGGGAGGTGTATGTACATGTGTGTGTCCGTGTGTGTATGAATACCTAGCACTCTAGAATTGAATACTTAGACGAAGTGAATTAGGTGCACTAGTTAGGGTTGTCTTACACCGCCCGGGTAGAGTAGACTAGAAAAGGGACAACAGAGGGAAAGGCACTGACACGCAAGTGTGTCGAGTACCATTTTCCTCTGTTACCCTAATTAGAGGGAGGGGGTGTTGGGGTGTTTGGGGTAGAGAACACGTCGGGGTTTATTCTCCGTATGCCCGGCGGCTTCGAATTTCCGTGAAGCCCGGCGGCTTTGATTTTGAGAATACAGTAGTGAAACGAAAGTCGGTTAAGATAATCCAACGCATGCAGAAAACCGTTGAGTCAGTTACACGGTAGTCCGGAGTGAGAATGGCACCTCTTTGCGGAGGATCACACTGTGCACCCAAGTGGGACAGCGCAGCGGCACACTTTGACAATGGGTTTGCAGCCAACTCTTTTCCCAGGTCGAAAAGGGTGAAGGAACGGAAAGGCGAGCGAGTCTGAAAACTTGAAGATGTTTAACAAAGGTTTTGCGTGATTGCGGAAGCTAGTTACTGCATTTGCACTTTACTGCAAGAACGGTAAGGCGAAAGGGTCCGAAGAACAGAACTGTGTAACAAACTCACCAGCACTCTACCAAAGCTAAGGAAACCTGTTTTGGGGGATATCATGCGAAGAACCACCATGGAAACAAAAAAGGAAAAGTGTAGTCACAGCGTAAACAACAGCTTTTAGCAGGTACGTGGAAATGGCGTCCCATTTGCATATCCTCGGATGCATCGCCAGCTTCGTTGACCAGGCGACGATGCATCCTGCCTGGTCCCCTGCTTGTGGAAAACTCTTAGGAACTGAGTGTGACACACACACACACACGCCGCAAGAAAAATTGTTCCCGTAGTGGGGTCTGACACACCGGAGGTGGTTCATGGAGAATTCAGATCGATATAGCCATATATAGCCCAACACTTGTGGTTACTAAGACTATGTTGCCGCCATTTTAAACATCTTGCTTGGGCTAGTGTGAACTAAATCGGTGTCCAAGTAAGAGTATATTTGCAAGCCCTAAATTACCCTAGATGAGTTGGGAAGTTGCCGTGACTGGCACCCTTGAACTGTTTCCACTTCCATCGGCCAAAGCCGTTTGTTAGGGCTCTACAGGTTCCTGCTCCTGAGATGGGTGTGTTTATTTGAAAATGAATAGGTGTTTGTTGTAAGAACACATTTCGGGATGTTAAACGCCTGCTTTCCCCTACTTGCCCCATTTGACCCCAGGACACCTCGCATGTGATTTCTGGGAGCTCCTCAGCTCAAAGATCTCGACCGGTCGACCGGCCTCCATCCACCGTTCGACCTCAACCGTTGAGCGGTGTGCCGGAGCCATGGCGACGCCTGGGCAGTTGCAGATGTACAACAAGATGGAGGCGGCGTTTTCCCGATGGAGGACTCACCAAGATTTGAGCGAAGACTTTGGTGGTGGTTTTGTTCGAGGCTTCGAGTTGTGATTTGGTGCAGTGAGAGGTCTTAAAACTTATATATATATATATATCTATATGTTGCTGCATAATGCTGGTATGTATGCAGATGTATACACCACTCATGTTTGAATCCGCCCCTTGGCACAGTGAGTCCTAGGAAGGTTTTTTTTGGATCGCAATTGAAGGCTCACACATTTGGTTTATTCATTGAGCAAGTTCACACATCGCATATTCACTGCCCGAGAAGGACCAGCAAGGGCTATCAATCAAAGACCCAGGTTGTGTCCATTCTATAATCCACAACCCCCAGGCATAGACATGGCCCTCAAAACGGATCATATATATATAACTATTGTATATATACTTTGCTTGCCAACGTTGACAGATGTCACCAACCCCACGATGTTTTTTCCTGGGGTTCGGGCTATCCATACTAGTCTGGCTGCTGCAGTTGAGCATCATCTAGCATCGGAGCGAAAACAAACAGGATCAAGCTCTCGGCATTTGCCATGGTCATGGATGATTGCTGTACTGCAAAAACTTATCAGAGGGATTTGCAGCAGCTTGAGGATCACTCCCATGTTCAGGGCTTTACAAATCGTCTCATCTACTGTACAACTTTAGAGTGTTGTCAGTTTTGTCATCCATCAAGTGTCAGTTATTTTGGCTCCTGAAGTTGATTGAATGTTTCAAGGTCCATATGGAGAGATGCTGACGCTTGGTCATCACAATCTCAAGAGTTGCTTTAGACAATCCTATGACTGGGATAATCTCTTCAGTTACAGTGTTACAGGTGATTTTATCCAGAAGGCTTAGACCAAACAGAACACGCTGCAACGAAAAGGTGCAAAGTGCCTCAGGGCCAAAACAAACTTGGCTTTGCTATTCACGAAAGCTAGCACCAGCTAGCTGGAGTTGTCCTTGCTTTAGCAAGTGAGGGGCTGGAATCCTCGGGATCGCCGCATCACGTGAAAACTTCATATGTAGAGGGGCCCCCCCCCCCTCCCCCCCCTCCTCTGGGACACCTCTTATGGCATCCACATAGGTTCAACTCCTCCGTGGAGGTTTTGGGATACGGTGCAACAGATTCAACAAGCTCACAGGTTCGTGAACACATCGGATGCATCGAACAGTGTGGCAAAGTCCAGCCACGCTTCCTTAATTATCGGGGACTTCAATTCTAAGGTTGGCTGTGTCATTGCTGTTTGTGTGTCTTACATGTTCACAACGTTTTACCTCATGAGCATTTGCCTCACTCCGCTGGATGTCCCACCAGTCCGGATGCACCCCTGCTAGCTTTCGTCACCTACCCTCGGCCTCAAGTCGCTTGGACACGTGAAGATCCATGTCTTGTGGCGGGACGTTCGTCATGACACGGCTCACAGTGCGAACCCCCAAGGAACGTGTCAGTGGGTCAAGTCATTCGCCAGAACGCCACGCTGCCTATCTGTGTACTCCTTGGAGTCACGGTTACCATATGGCCTTTTTTGCAGGGGGTGCCAGGGACCGTGCAAAACTGGCACCAACAAAGACACTTGCAATGGTCCGTGATATCAACTCTGGACGCGGAGTTGACGTACCTGCGAGACAACATGATGACCTTCAATTCCCACTGGGCCTAGTTCGTTACTAGAACAAAATGCCGGCCGCTACACCGGTTCCATCATTTCTGCTGATGCGCGTTTGATGACTGAACCTTTGACCTGACTTTTGAACTTTAATAGACTTGGAATGTTATTTGAGGAACTTCTATCAAGAACTTCTTCCTTTCTGGATGTTTAGAAGTTAGACCATCTTACATCATCTTACATTTCCTTGGTTTATTGGAGCATTTTTTCACCTAGGCTTCCGTGTGGCATGTGGCATTCATGTCTGAGTGTGTGAGGGGGGGGGAGCATGGAGTTTCCCAGAACCAGCAAGCGAATGTTGTTGGGGTGTTTGTTTTGCGTTTGTGCTCACATTGCATTTGTTCTTTTGCTGTCATGCGCTACAATGCTACAATTTCTGCGCCTGCCATTCCGTGTACATACTCGAAAAAGTTACTATATTCAGGTATGGCAGAATGGGAGGCGCAATAAAGGGTTACCAGGGTGAGCGTTAAACAACAAGCCTTATTTTCTCAATGCTTTCAAGTTCCCCATCCAGCTCAACAGCCTCTTTCCAACGCTACCCAAATTTAAGGACACTTTTTTTGGTGACAATTGGTGATGACTATGTTGTGAGACCAATGACAACCCGGGAAGTTGAAACCATCAATAATGTTGTGAACTCGAGAAAGGCTCTATGAGACAATGATATAGGTGTGGTGATATTAAGCAATATCACGAAAATGTGATGGCATCAGCAATGGAACTTGTGCGAAAGTGTTGCCATACACGAACCATTTTCCCATTCATCAGCCATGTCAAAGCCTGAGTTCTGGCCAACTGCCCTTGGACCCAACATGTGGGACACCTCACGCCTACATAAAAGGCATGTTAGTAGGTATGTTATATATACAATCAGTACAACTATACAAATTGATGTACATTGCCCCAGGATTCCAGATGTTTTCCATGAGAAAATCCGCTTCCAGGCCCATGAGATGTTCAAGATCCCGGAGGGCCCGGATGGTGAGCCCAGGAGGATACAAGTGAGACTGGGCCGCAAAGATCGGTTGTTTTTAGACAAAATTAAACATGAACAAACTCATAGACTTAGATGGGTGTGTCGACCACGCATGCATATCCCAGAAGAACATGGGTGCAAAAATATACACTTGTATAGTGACTACAGACTAAAACAAATACAGAACCAGATAGGATGCACCGATTCACCAGCCTTGGGAGGATTCAAAATGAGGGTGCCAGAAACCACCAGTGGGTAGCTCCCCATGCGGTCTCAGGGTGCCAGATGAGAAAGTCTCCAATGCGGTGGTGCTCCATACCCACTTGGAGGATCACACCTTGGGCAACCTGCTCCGAATGGAGCTCCTGAGAAATGAGGTGGGAGTCCGGGGTGATTTATTCCGATCATCCATACAACACGAAATTGGTTTTCTCAAAATATGAACATGTAGAAGGTCAAGCAATATGTTCCACTGAAACTGATGGAGGTTTGTCTAAATATGTCTAAATGCACCACTGCTGATTCTTCATAAGGAGTACACTAACCACACGCACTTGAGCAGGTGATGGCTACTTCCCTCCAGATGCTCAGATGCTCATGATGAACTAAACAGGTGACCTAGTCAGGTCAGATGGTCGCCATGTTAGGGTCAAGAACTTGGGTTTTATGTGATAAACACCTTGGCATTTGCCCTTCCTGACTGTCCTGACTGCTGTTTGTAGCAAATTAGTTATGTAGGCATAGCAATGAAACATGGAGGGTTGGATAGATCATGATCCTTTTCACTTCCGGTGTGAGTCAACCCCCCAAAGGCATACCAACATCGAGCACAAGTTCGAGCAGATTGGTTTTTCATCTCGCATGCTAGTCGATGGTTTCCAGTGTTTCCTATACTTTTAAGTCTCCATTTCAGCCACCGGAGGAGACCTGTAGAGTCGGGTTCTGAGGGTGCTTGTATATATGATATATGATATATATATATAATATAATTACATAGACAATTTGTATAAACCAACAGCCATTCATTATTCACCTTTGATTGTTTGAAGAGCGCAGGCGGTGCTCTTCGCGGGCTACAAGGTGCCCCACCCCTTGAGCCTTGGGATGAGCACCAAGAGCGTGTTTAGACCCCAAGGCTTCCAAGGCTTTGGACTCGGCACCCGTTTTATTATGTTTTATTCGTTGGAATGCGTTCGATTTATTTGTGGGATGCTGGCAATTCCATGGAATGCATGTACAGCTCGCCTTCACAGGCCACACACACAGTTTCATCCATGGAATTCTTCCCGAGCTCCCGTTTGAAGTGGACCCTCCGATGGTGATTTGCAGGGCTTCGGCGATTGCGCCCCATGGCGCTGTTTGTCACGATGACAAAGTACCGGTTTTTGGCACCTCCAGCGGTCACTGCGAGTTCCCTTCCAGAGCTTTTCTTGGCTTCGCCGATAGGAATCACATGATTGAGCTGCGGGTGCAAACGACCCCAGTGATCAAGCCTGAGGCGTGTTTTAGAGGGGCGCACCGATAGCGGGGCGCGCCGCAGGTGGCATGGAGGGGATGGTCTTCACAGAGGTAGGTGTGTAGATGGTGTGTAGATGAATGAGGATCTAGAGCCTCACAGACCATTTTTGGAACCTCCAACCATCCGAATCGATTTGTTCCTTTTTTTGTTTGACCAAAGTAACAGTGGTTTGATGAGTTCTAGGCTATGCGGCTATGGATAGAAGGTGAGAGAATCCAAAGCCGATCAATGCCAAGGCCATACCTTTTTGGACAAGTTCGATTTGTTAGTATCATGCGCATCATAGCGAATCCGATGGTCTTGTGAGCTCAGAGTAGTATAGGTCCCTGTTTTTGGTGGTTTTCAAGAAAGAGGCCCTTAATTTTCCATGCCACCACCTATGGGCCCAGTGGCTAAACCTCCACGGTCTTTGGCAAACTAAGAGCGCTGTGTGACGAACGACTGGTTTGAGACTTGGAGACTTGGAGACTTGGTGCCCAGACCATCCAGGATGCGCTGCGGCATGCAGTGAAGAACCTCCAGAGCGAATGCAAATCCATGTTGGAGCAGTTTGATGAGGCCGAACCATCGTTTTTTGGGGTGCGTCAGGCTGAGTCAGGCAGGGTTTTCTTGGGTGCCATTTTGGCCCGAGGATGTTCTTCCGTGTTCTTCCCAACCAACTTTCACGGGGGTTCCAAGTGGTTCAGTCGAGCGGATCTTCAGGGCGTCCACGGGGCTGCGGCTGTGCTCATCGTCGGACTCGAGTCCGTTTCGGCGCTCCTTGGGGCCTCCAAGGACCTTCCGAGGCTGAAAAAGGGTTTGGAAGATGTTTCATGTACAAAGAAAATCTGGGTCGGGTCCCATATAATCCTAATGACTGATCGCAGAACGGTGAGAACGGTCTTTTTACACAAACCCTTTGAGGACGTATGTCATCTATTGGACACGGGCCTGGAACTCCCTAGAATTCGTGTCCCGGCCGAGCATGGGCTGATGAGAAACCGTCAGGCGCTCCTCGGCGCTCCGAGTTCGCTTGTACCGTCGCTTAGGTCATCTTCAAAATGTCACCAGACTGTCATGGCTGGAGTTTGGTAAGTACAGCTAGCAGAGCGGTGCATAACGACATATAACGACATTGGTTTGGCTTGTATCTTAATAGGAGGACACCCAACCAATTGGTCTATTTTCCTTCTTCCTGGGGGTCTTTGGGAGGTCTCCCTGTTTTAATACACACCCATGTGCAATATTCAATATTGAAGAATATTGAACATACCAGGACCGTGTCAAAGTGACCTTTTGAGATCCCTGAAGGCGGTCAGTTCCTGAAAAGCTCACTTTGAGACTCCAAAGAGGTCACTTGGAAGGTCCTGGTGTATATATATATATATATATCCTGGTGTATATATATATATATATTATACGTGTATATAATAGTATATTATTACAAATCACAGGCGTCTACTTTTTGTATCAAAAAACTATATTGTTCAAAATGTAATGTCAGTCAGTCAGGTTTACATTATCTATTCAGGCTGACTGAATCCAAATGAACGGCTGCATGCATGGTTTCGGTTATGAAACCTCTCAGCTACCGAAGCACTGTAGTAGCAGTCCCCAATCAACGTGCTAAAGCGGCCTGGGAATTCAGAATTCTTTGCTTTTTACCGCTCAAAATTGAACAGGCGAAATATGCCGAAATCATGGTTTCCTGGAGTGTTTTGAGCCGCGCAAAGATGTGGGGTCCAAACCTAGAGGCTTGACATCCCCAGTAGCCCCTCATTTGGCCGATTTGGCTGGATCTTCCCAGTCTCAAAGCTTGTTTGCCACACCAGATGACCTCGATGACGTTTCCTGCCGTCAGGGCTGCCGCTTGCTGGGCAGTGTGGATGACCCAGTGGATGTGGAGATGTCCCCCGAAGCGGACGTCATGGAGCGCCGCTCGCGCGGCGCGGCGTGACCTCGGTCGTGTCTGCGGTGCTGTGCGGATTGTGGCGCAAATACCCATGAGGCACTCTGGGAATAGGTTTTGTATGATTTATTAAACTATATCATAAAGTATATGTATGGTCATACTGTCACATACTTATTCGGCAATCAACCGTTCTGAGACAGTGGCACAGTCGCGCAAACAACCCTTGGATTGCCTATGTTTTTTTGCTCGCATGGTCAGGTTCAGGCTACCCAAAGTGTCAAAGCTTTGGATTCTATATGAGCAACCCCTTTTATTTAGGCTTTACTAAAGTAGTTTGCGGCATGCTCTATTTGCTTGTCTATCATCAGTATTCGCTTGTGAACAAGATAGGGCCCCCACATAAACGAGATACTTTGCTTGATGACACTAAAAGTAGTCTGAACGAGATGGTGTGATCTGCTACTAAAGTAGTCTGAATGAGATGTATTTGAGCTAAGTACCAAATAAATGCCGTCGCACGTATGAGGTGTGTTGTTTTTTGAAGATACAGGATACCATAATACCATACATCATAGGATAACTATATGTGTCATTATGTTTTTGTTTTAGCTTCTATAATCTCACTCGCAGAACCATTCCGTTCGGTGATCGTAAATCGACATACTTTGTGTTTTTGACCGAAGTGCACCATCAAGTGGTCTCCATATCTGCCATATCTCCTCAGATTGTTTCTAATTAAACTGAATTCTAATTCTAATTCAATTCTATGTATTTCTTGTTTCTAATAGCTTCTTGTTCCTAGTAGTAAGGCCAGGAGCCCCTAGTAGCATCCTCGCTCCTAGTAGTAAGGCCAGGAGCCCGTAGTAGCGTCCTTGCTCCTAGTAGTAAGGCCAGGAGCCCCTAGCTTGCTCCTAGTAGTAAGGCCAGGAGCCCCTAGTAGCATCCTTGCTCCTAGTAGTAAGGCCAGGAGCCCTAGTAGCGTCCTTGCTCCTAGTAGTAAGGCCAGGAGCCCCTAGTAGTAGTAGCGTCCTTGCTCCTAGTAGTAAGGCCAGGAGCCCCTAGTAGCATACTTGCTCCTAGTAGTAAGGCCAGGAGCCCCTAGTAGTAGTAGTAGTA